AGGGAGAGAATGAGAGAGAGAGAGGGAGAGAGCGAGCGAGCGAAATAGAGAGAGGGAGAGGAGAAGGGAGAGAATGAGAGAGAGAGAGGGAGAGAGCGAGCGAGCGAAATAGAGAGAGGGAGAGGAGAAGGGAGAGAATGAGAGAGAGAGAGGGAGAGAGCGAGCGAGCGAAATAGAGAGAGGGAGAGGAGAAGGGAGAGAATGAGAGAGGGAGAGAGCGAGCGAGATAGAGATAGGGGAGGGAGCGAGCGAGCGAGATAATGAGAAAGGGGAGAAAGCGAGCGAGCAAGCGAGAGAATAAGAGAGAGAAAGAAGGGGAGCGAGCGAGCAAGAGGGAGGGGATGGAGCGAGCGAGAGAATAAGAGAGAGAAAGAGGGGAAGGGAGCGAGAGAGAGAATGCGAGAGAATAAGAGAGAAAAAGAGGGGGAGGGAGCGAGCGAGAGAATGCGAGAGGGAGGGGAGGGAGCGAGCAAGAGAATAAGAGAGAGAAAGAGGGGGAGGGAGCGAGCAAGAGAATAGGAGAGAAAGAGGGGGGAGGGAGCGAGCAAGAGAATAAGAGCGAGAAAGAGGGGGAGGGAGCGAGCAAGAGAATAAGAGAGAGAAAGAGGGGGGAGAGGCGACATCGGAAAGAGGTGCGGACGGTAAAATTGTCGACCGGAGACTATGTCCAGTGCTGATCATAGGATATATAGGCGCCGTCGGCGGTACGAAAAAGATGGCGCTCTGCAATTCGCAAGTACGCAGGCGGTCGCCGAAGTTTACCATGTTTTCCTATAGGCGGATAGCCCGAATATGGGTTGAATGCATAATTTCGCCTCATGCTCTATATTTTCGACGCGAGCGGGCTTGCGCAAATCCGATATCTCCCCTTGTGAAACTGAGAAATTATTCGAAATGTGTAGGCCTATATGTAGCCAAAACGGTAGAACAAACGGAGTTTTCTCGATACCCTAGAGTTGCCGACGGAAGCAGTATTTAGCTGAATCTCCGCAATTTCGTATATAGTCATTACACCTGGTAAAACAAGCAACATCTGCATTTAACTAAACCATATCTTAGTTTACGAATACAATGATTAAATTCTGTAGCATCGTCTACACGAGGAAATTTGTCTCGGGTTAAGTGTCTATACGAGCTTTTAACTCAGGTTACGCTAACTCGGCTTAGCTTAACCCTGCGTGATGAGGGGGGTTGAACTATCCCGGAGTTTAGCCTAACCTGAGTTAGGACTCGTGCAGACGCGCGCGAAATCGTAAACTCGAGTTATAAGTGGTAATTATCAGTAGACTGAATAGGCGGTGTCACATGCAATGTTGACATCCAGGTTACTTTCTTTCCGCGACTTTTCAAGATTCACAGATTTTCTCCTACGTATTTTAAAATTTTTGTAATATTTTCAATAATATACGGATCATGGCACGAGGAAATAACGGGGAAAAAGAAGAGGTAGGCCTACAGGCGCTCATCCAAATATGGAAGTGGCAGGGTAGACAGTAGCCTACGTCGAAGGATAAAAACCCCGCCACCCTCTAGCTGCCGTTAGCTTAACTCAGGTTAACAAACTCCGTGTGGACGATGCGTGTTTCATAACTCGGGTTAGCTTAACTCGGGTTAAGGTGACTCCGTGTAAACAAGGCTTGTGTTCCTACTGCTACTACTACTATCTATCAGTATTATCTTTCCCCCTCTCTATCATTCCACTGTTTCTTGCACTCTGCTTCAATGCAGTACGTAATATGAGTGCAAATTCCGCCGTTTATTCGACGCAATCCGACTCCCAGGAATTTCATCTGTAGATGAGCGAGGTGGCGCCACATTACGAGCGCCATCACCCGAACTACGCCGTTACAACAGCTACTGCACGTCTTACGTACCATCCGCATAATTATTCAGTATCATATTATGCGCGCCCTCCCATGCGTGTCTCCCAGCCCAACCTCCTCGTTTCGATTTCCCTCCTCCACGTTGCATGTGCATAATATTTATTTACTATTATCATAAATGTATGGGAATGTCGTGCTAATTATTTCTGCATTATCCTTTACAAAACTATCGCCCACGTGCCAACATATATGTCATATTCAATTCAATTCAATTTAATTTAATTCAAATCAATTAAATCACGTTATTTATCTTTACGAAAGCTTAAATAGTACTATATTCGTTAAACAAATTAATTAGGGAAGTTGACAAATATAAAAGATAAAACTAAATAGATCGTCATAGACTTGATAGCGACGATAGAGACGATCACAGACTGACCATTAGAATGACCATTCAGTCGCCCAGTCCGCCACCTCCATAGATTACAAATAATGCACGATGACAAAATTGCTATGTAATAAATTATACATAACAGGTGAAACCAGAGTAATTGACTTTATTAGTTAAGTTTAAGTAAAGTTTACTTGATAACGTATAAGGATTATTGTATAGATGACGTATTTTAATTAACTACCACAAACAAAACCAGCAGCAGTAGCATTAACACTACCACCATCATAATTATCACCACCAACACCCACCACCAACACCAACACCACCAACACCACCAACACCAACACCACCTACACCAACACCAACACCACCAACATCACCACCACCCCCACCACCACCACCACCAACACAATCGTCCTCATCATCATCATCATCAGCAGCAGCAGCAGCAGTAGCAGGAGCAGCAGCAGCAGCAGCAGTAGCAGGAGCAGTAGGAGCAGCAGGAGCAGCAAGAGCAGCAGCAGCAGCACCAGCAGCAGCAGCAGCAGCAGCAGTAGCAGCAGCGTTTACTTTCACTATGCCACGCCTACCGCCGCCTCATTTGTCTCCGCTTCCCCGCGTGGTCAGTGCGACAGGGGCCTTGACCAGGTGCTGGCGGGTGAAAAAGGGAGAGACGCGGCGGTCACCCGTGACGTGCTATTGTCACGGCTCCACACACCCATTGTCCCGGCAAAGATAACGACGACGATGACGATGCTATGACGCCGTCCCACGGGAGTTGACGTCACCGCTGCCGCCACTGCGTGTTTCGGCGCACGCACGCGCGAACGTAATAATCGCTGGTTACGAGGTCGCTGGGACAAATTCCCCCGTCGCCAGCGTTTAATATGCTGGCGGACAATACAGACCGATGTCCTTGACACGCGACTTTCACTGCGTGGTCGGTCGGTAGAAGGAGACGTTGGTATATAAGGGCGACGCGGTGTCAGCGGACGGCACACACATATCACGGACACAGACGAACACAACCGCTGCAGCCTCGGTAAGTATAGATTCATCTATCATGCTCTCCTCGCGTCTATAGTTAATAGCTTCGTATATATATATATATATATATATATATATATATATATATAGTAGTAGTAGTAGTAGTAGTAGTAG